GTGTAGGTAGGTAGGGTCTGGAGAAAACCCCTCGTCTGAGATGTGGGAACTCTCAGAGAACCTTCCAGGCGTTGGAACAGATGCAACACCGGCGCGAGGATTGGGCGGAAGATGTGCGGAGGAGTCGAACAATTCTGCTAAATCGAGGCAGACAGCCAACGGAAAGGCGAGAAAGGAAGATCCTGGTAGCAGCATGTGGAGTTTGGGCAGGGCCATGGAGGATTCCACTCGATCTTACTGCTATGGCCTGAACAAAGCGGCCACCACCCTTGCCAAAGCTACCACAGACGCGGGGTGTGCAATCACTGCTCGGATAGGGGACGTGGTCGAAGCAATGCGGGGTGGCAATAGTGTTCTAGAGTTGCTAGTGGGTGTCCTTGCTCAGAGGGGGGTGAACGTAGGTGACGGCGGCGAAGGTCCGACTCATCGGTTTACGGACCCTTCGTCGTGGTGATCACTTTTTTTTCGTTTGGTTTCTTCGCGTTTGCGCTCTGATAACTTTGTATATATATATATATATATACATATATATATATATATATATATATATATATATCCTCACAAATATATATATATATATATATATATATATATATATATATATATATATATATAAACAGTTTGTCAGAGTCCCTCGTTTGTTGTCCTCTTCTCTGTTTCTGCCTACGGTTTACCGGGCAGTTTTATTTCTGACCATATATATATATATATCATCACAAACAGATATATATATATATATATCGTCACAAACAGAACTGCCCGGTAAACCATAGATAGAGAGAGAGAAGAGGACAACAAACGAGGGGCTGTGACAATATGTTTCGTCGGAGTTTCACCGACTCATTAGGAGGCTGAACCCTCAACAGTCTGCAGAATCCCCTCACTGATTACACTGTAAATGATAATCTACCTTAACCAAAATCAAAGTAGACTATCACTCACCTACACCAGATGGAAAACTCTACAGATTGTCGATTCACACCCCATCACAGGCCAACAAAACATCCACGAAACAAAGAAAGGTCTGTCACAGCCAAAAAATACACTCGAGACAAGCCGCTGGCACTAGAGGCACAGCATGGCCGCCTAGTAACGGCCCCGACCACTGCCGCTCGACCTGATCGAAACAAAACGTAGCAAGAAGCTAGCCAAGTCGTATATATATATATATATATTATATATATATGTATATGATATATATATATATATATATATATATATATATATATATATATATATATATATATATATATATATATATATATATTCCTCGGGAGGTAAAATAACGGTCGTCGACATATCCCCGCCGGTGGTGGTCAACAGAGAGGCGACACATGCATATACATGTATATACATATACAAAATAGGATTCGTAAAAACCCAACAAAAAAAAAAATGTTGGGTTTGAACGAAATTTATTAAAGATTATAAAAGTACAATATTTAAGCCTCCTGCAAAAGCAAGATTTCACATAAGGTAAAACAACCACAATAAAAAGGTACTTTTTGACAAACACTAAAAGTGGCGAGGAAAAACACATTCCATAGAAAATCACTATCAATTGAATCATAGTTTAGTAAGGAATTGAAATATGTATTTTTTTAATTATCTCAAAAGATTGCATGTATAGTCCTATAAGTCGTGCAGCACGCTGAACATATTCAGGGGTTTCGTGAACAGACTAATATGTTATCTGGCTTGCAACTACGTTCGCTCAAACATGTTTTCTTTTTGGTGGGGAAACATATTTTTTTCAAATGGATTTTTTACAACACGTTATTCGTTATAATAGGACATTATACTGTGTCCTCTTTCTAATGAATTAATTTTTGGCTGCAGCCTAAGCAACGTAGGCATGCCCATCCAGGGGTTGGGATCCTTACTTGTTGAACATCAAAAACCCGCCACCACATGCAGAAGCGTGCTGAGATCCATACTTGTAAAACTTCATAAATGAAATCCCAAATGTGGAAGTGTGTTGGGATCCTTACTTGTTGAACATCAAAAACATATTGGTGATCCTGTGGGGAAGTGTGTTGAGATCCATACTAGTCAAACTTCATAAACGAAGAACGATTGGCACGCCAAACGGAACCCTGTGCGGAACTGTGCTGTGATCCTAACTTGTCAAACTTCAATTTCATAAATGTGATGAAAGACACAGTAACTATATTGTGACACTGTCCTCTTTCTTACGAATTCATTTTTGACTGCTGTGTTTGTACATGGGCATGCCCGCCTAGCCGCCCCAAATGCGAAAGTTTGCTGACATCCATAGTTGTTAAACTTTTGTAAACAAAATTAACAATGTAATTAGATTGAATTAGATTAAATTATTCTCCATCGCGATGAATATCCGCATTTCAAATGGTTATGCAAAGCAGGTTTGGGCATTCACTGACCAATTTCATATCAGATGAGATTTCTCATTCATCCACCAACCAATTTCACAATCATGTTTACACTTCCAGTTSAACAGAATTCGAAACATGGAACACAGTACTTCAACTTGCACATTATTCGGAACATGGAACATTACATGACATAGATTACAAAGTCCATACATGACGCAGAACATGCATTGAGCTTGCCGTAGATAATGCGAACTCGAACGATAAAAGAAAGCAATGCCTCTGGCAGAAGGACAGTTGAATAATGTCTCGATTTATGAAATTTAACGATCAATAAATGGAACACCTTAAAAAAAAGTTTCGAAGTCAATCAAATTCATCAAAGACAACGATGTTCTAAGACACATGATGCTAATTGTCGTCTAAGAAGCGGAATATCTTTACAAGAGAACCGGAAAGGCGGTCGATCTCCATGTTGCAACAATGTCGCATACATCAACATGAACACACCATAGCTTGCTCCATCCCCGTGTCTCGGAACTCCATCCTCCACAACATTTCCCACCATGGACTTCCAATTCCTACCCGACCGCCTATGTGATGTTTGACGTTCCAAATATTGCACAATCAACCCGAAAACACTAAGGTAAAAACTAGAATCAGCTACAATGCGAGGAAAAAAATCAAAAATTTCGAGAACATCATCTCTCATGTTAACGGAAACGAGGATCCAGTGATCATCATCTTTGTGGACAGGAACGAAGATAATATCGTAACAAAGCAAATCTACGTATTTAGCCCACCTCTGTACCCCACCGTGTCCTTGAAGTCGCAGTTTACTGAAGAAGAACGAATTAAAGCTGAAGACTTGAAGGCCTGAAGAGATGTCACGTGACCCACATGCGGTCAACCCCAACAACGCCATATAGAAATTGACCACCTCATCATTCACCCTGCCGTTGACATGCACGAGGGTGAGGAGATCTTTTGCTGCAATCCGAAATTGACCATTGCCCAGTATAGAGAGAATAGTGTTAGACGGCACCGAGCCTCGTACAATGTCATCGAAAACCCGCAAGCTCAGAGGCGCAATCGTCGCAGCGAAACTTTTCCCGCGTGCTGCACTTATTGCCCGCACTGCACAACATCGAGCAAGGGACACGTGGTGGAGTGAGAAACGGAGTTCTAGACATTGTCCCCCGGTGCATGACGCGTTGCTAAGTACTTCTCATACATGGTCTGACCCCTACTCACAGATCGTGGATATGTCCCTTTCTCTGGGGCAAGAAGGGAAAGACATTCCTCAATGGCAACGGTGTACTCCTTCTTCCCGATCTTGACATCAACCCCTGATGCCTTTAACATATCCTTGTGTTTTTTACTCAACCCGGGGACTTTCTGCAATATGTACTCTGGATATTTGGAGGACCTCCGTGTTCGAGACGACACCACCCCTGTACAACAGAAGAAAGACAAAACGAAAAATGAGAACCATACATTCGTACAGACGCAACAGTCAAGCAGGACCTTTCCGACCAYAGGACCCTGATCTCGCGTGGTCATGTGCACCCAGGTGCGGTTGTGCAACTGGAAAACAAAATGACTGCAACATCCGAGCTTATCACCCCCGCACTTCGCAAAGGAAAACCACCACAACTCACAGAAGTCGGAGGCCAGCAATCCGCGAATTTCGGACTGCGGCGGACTTTTGAACATACCAGCCACATTGAGACTGACCACATCACGCATCGACAAAGGAAGTTCGGATCCCGGCAGACTAAAACCGACACTATTCCCGAGAAGGGAAAATTGTCAGTCCATGTACTTGGCCACTTTCTAAGCACCTTGGCCTACAGTCAAGCAGGACCTCTCCGACCACAGGCCCCTTATCTCGCGTGGTCATGTGCACCTAGGTGCGGTTGTGCGACAGGAAAACAAAACGACTGCAACATTCGAGCTTATCACCCCCCGCACTTCGCAAAGGAAAACCACCACAACTCACAGAAGTCGGAGGCCAGCAATCCCCGAAGTTCGGACTTAGGCGAACTTTTGAACACACCAGCCCCACTGAGACTGAGCACGTCACGCATCGACAAAGGAAGTTCGGATCCCGACGGACTAAGACCGACACTACTCCCGAGAAGGGAAAACTGTCAGTCCATGTACTTGGCCACTTTCTTAGCACCTTGGCCACTTCCTCAGCCGGGTCAGATCCTTCTTTGGATGAAGTGTAAGGTTTTGGACGAAGTTTTCGCCGCCCTCGACTAGCAACCTGGCCGAGTCACAGACAGGCCGACGAGCTGGAGTAGGAAGGGCTTCTGGCTGTAGCATGCCGGCACCCGGAACTTCCCGTATGCACAGACAGTGTGGACAGTCGTCGTGTGTATAGCGCGGACTGTAATACGGCGACATCCGGATGCGCAGGCGTTCTTCAAGGCTTACTAGTCTGTTTCTCTCTCCGCTCGTTCGATGGTGAATTTGGCGCAGGCAAAGCGAGCACGTCGAGAGCCTGACCGCCGAACCTCAATTTTTTTGGGGACGTCAAATGCTGTCCTCCACCGCACTCGCCTTCCCCTTCGGTGGCAAGGGTGACCTGCAGCACCAGAGACTTCGGCGGCGACGAAGCGAGGGCAGCTGCCACGGAAGATGCGACGTTGGCAGTTGCGAACGGACGGGCAAACACATTGTGGTCGCCGAGGACACTGTCGATAACTTCGTCAATGCTTATACGTCGACTTTTTTCAGACGGGCTGATAGCGACGGAAGCCTCGTCGAACCGGTGCTGCAAGTCGACAGCAGACGTCTGTGGCCGGACCCTGCACTTGCAGCCTCCCGCTGCAATCCTTGCGGCCGTCGCTCCCGCGCAGGCGACACCGTTCGGATGTCTCCGTCCCGCGCCGCAATGCTGCGAATTTCTCGATCCGTGCTTGGATCCCCCGACCCCGAGCAGCTTCGCATTCCGGACCGCTCTGGCGGCTCCTCACCCGACGTAGTTCGGATCCCGGCGGACTTCGGCTTTCCGGCCGAGCGAATGCCCAGAGCAACCAAGGCTGCCAACGTGTCCCTCGCTGAGCCCACGAACGAAGTCTGGGGTTCGGCGGAGTGTGTCGTGTGCTCGGGTCGGATGCCTGTCGACGGAGTCCGGTCGACGGCGAAACCCACCACCCCGGCGCTGCCTCCCGGTGTTGTGTTGCGGCCATGAGACCCTCTCTCCCCCATAGGCGGGATTCCTTTGCCACCCCCTGCGTCGCCACCCCCATCCCCTCCGCTTCCAAGTGACCCCCCCCCGGAACCACCGTCCGGCCCACTGGGAGGGGGCACTTTCCAGTCCACCACGCCCTTCGACGGACTCGTGTCGAGCTTGTAGTAGTCCTCCGTCAATTCCAACCAGCACTTGTCCTGAAGCTCGTCAAACAGTCGACCGGCAGTGGAAATGAGGGACAGGTCGCCGGGTGCTAAAGTGTCATTTTCGACCTTCACTTTTTAGAGGACCGAAATCCTCGCGAGGTGCAGGAAGTCGGACTTCGACTCGCGTTGGAATGACACCCATCCCGCGCCCGGGATTGCCACGGCCATGACCCACTCGCCATTTCGTATCGCTGGCTGGATGACTCCCGAATGCCAAACCATGTCATGGCCCCAGTCCTGCTCAGGTGAATGGCGTTGCGGTTCAAGCAGGAAGTGGATGTTGTCATCCTTCCAAGACGGATGATCGGGCGGGATAACGGACCCGGGACGCAAAGCGGGCGGGGGGGCGGCCAGAGCTCTAAGTCTCTCCAGCAACTTCATCGGCGTGGCGCCCGGCGTCGGTTTGGCCAATGGTGACACGAGGGCTGCAGCGCTTGGTGACGGACCGACCGACGAGGACCCTCGGCCGTGGTCCGCCGGAGGCGGGTCGTACTGCAGGTCGATGCTCTCCGTGTCGCTCTCCTCCTCCTTCGCGTTGGCGACAAACTCCACACCTATGGCTTCCTCGTCGTTAGTGGAGATCAGGGAAGCGTAACTGGCTAACTTCAACTGCTCCTCGGACTCCACGAAGTACAGCGATTGCAGCCTTTCGATAAACGTCGTCTCGTTCATGCGGGAGGCGAAGTGGTAGTTGTCGAGCAGTGCCAACATGTGGTCCTTCCGGCGGATGTACTCGGCGTCAGTGTCCCTCCTCGGACGCGTTTGAAGGAACAAAAAATCGTATATCTTGTTCCTCTTCCTCTCGCTCAACTTGAACCACATATCCGTCTTCTTGCTCCACACCTTATCCCGTATTGGCCTCACGACCATGAACTCACAATTGTGCCCACTCCAATTGACCTCGCTTTTCAGCACCTGCATCGTGAATTGCAAGAGGTCGGAGTTCCCTTCCATTGCAAGAACGTGTCGGCCGGCCTTTAGAAGCTCCCAGATGCTTCGCGCGTGCGGTATCCCAAGGAACACAACACCCTCTCCCTTCTTGCCAAGAAAATCAAGAAGACCGACGAATTGGATCGGATTGCGTTCCATATCCCCGTAGACGATGCCCTGTCGTTCAGGCGCCACCAGCGACCAGTCGCAAGGCGTGAAAGGAATCTCGGACACATCCGTCTGGGTGACCCTCTGAGGCAATAGCACCGCAGCAGCGACATCCGTGGGCAGGTTTTCCTCGTAGACCACGGACGTGTTGACGCGCAGATCGGCACCCTTGAAGAGGATGTATATATGCGGTCTTCCTCCATGTACAAATTGTTTCCAACGGGGAAGCTTTTTTTTTGCTGCACTTTCCGCACCCACTTCCCTTCCAACAGCTTGATGAAAGAAAGATGGTGCATGTTGGCGAGAAATGACAGGTTGTGCTGCCGCGGCACGAAAACAACGAGAGTCCAATGCGAGGGACACCACGTCTGAAGATAGGAATTCAAAGTCTCCCACGCTTGGGGCTTCCACAGTTTGAGGTCAACCGGCTCACATAGATCTAGGGCAAACGTGTGGCTCTTTGTGGCAGCCACTGCCTCCTTCAGCTCTGCGCCCCTGATGTCCGCCTCTAAAGGGTCGTTGGCGAACGGCGCGATGAATGTCACATCCCTCGTGTCTTTCCATTTAATGTGAACGACGCCTTCGACAAGTGCGACTTCCCAGCTCTTCAGTCTGCTTCCATTCAACACGGAGAGAACCTTGTTTCTCCAGTCGACGAACAACTTGTTGTGGTCCGCCAACTTCTTCGTCACCTCAATCGAGTTGTCCTGGTCACAACCCATGTACGGCGGGCAGTCCTTGAACAACGCCGAGTCGGAAACGTGTTTCCTGCTGTTATCCCACAACTCGTCATCCAATCCCTGATCTTCAAACTTCTTAAACACGGCAAAGGGTACCTTAGGATCCAGTCCGCGTCCGACCTCTTCTCGTGTTTGAATTGGTAGTAATTCCACAACCGGACCAGCACGCGGTCGCACTTCACCAGCTAAACCATGTCCTGCACGCTGAGCTTTCCCAACTTCGCCAACGACGGGGAGACGGCCTGGACCCAAACGACCTCGCAAGCAAGCACCTTTTTCAGAACGCGACACTTCTCATTGTCCGTGAGTGATTCCATTGCTTTCCAACAATGCGCGTCCGGGTCTGGCACTTGCACAAACCAATCGCCCTCCTCTTTCTCCTTTTTGCCCTTTTTATTCGGCGGGTCCACGGGGACGTTGTACACCACCTCCGTTCTGCCCAATTTGTCGTTGTGGATGTAGGCGACCCCAGGCTTTACGTTTTTGATCTTCTTCTTTTTGACGGTCCACTTCGCCCCATCGTGGCTCAGCAATCTGCCCATCTCCCATTTTTCGAAAAATTCCACGGCCAGTTTCTAGACATTTTCCCCGACCATCGCCAGAGGTAAGTAAGAACGCAGGGCAGCATTTTGCTTCTTAATGGCCTCCTCTTCCTTTTGATCCGCGAGAAGCCACAAGCTGTTTTGAGGCGCCTTATAGAGCGCCGTTGTATAAAACTTACGCCAAGCCCGGACCAGATCTTGTTTCCCGCTAGGGTTCCCCATCACAGCTCTCGGGAAGCCGTCATGCTTCCACTGCCATCGAATGTCTTTCATAGAAAGTTTCAACTGTATGGGAGGCGCCTTCAGGTCCTTCTTATTGTCCTGTGACCTAACAAGAAAATACCCTTCGAAGTCATCGTCGGAAAAGTACACCATCCGTGCCGACCACCGCTCGAAATTGTACTTCTTGGCCACCTCGCTGCCGAGCAGCGACCTGGCTTCAGCCGCGTTGTGCTGCCCGCACACCGCGTAGTAGTAGTATTCTCCCGCCAGCTCATCCTTCCACTCCTCTGGCTTCAGACGTTGTGCCTTGGTCCCAGGAGTTGGTTTTTGAAGCCCCAGTGGTGCGAGCTTGAAGATCGGCAACTCGTACGTCTGTTCTTTATTTTCGAACGCAGACCGCATTGCTTCCCTTATCGTTTCCACGAGGACGGGATCTAGCAACCGCTGGTTGTAAAGATCCTCCCACTCCCTTATGTCAACGATCTGAGCCGGGCTGATCTCAAACTCCCGCCTTGTCCTGACGTCGTCTTTGTACTCCAGGAAGTACCCGGCGTCCACGTCGATGGCAGGCCATGGTGAAGAAGGTCCCGACTCAGGCTGTTTATGTTTTGAAGCTGGACTTTTGCTACCCGGGTGACCCTCTTCCACCCCCCTCCCCTTCCGTTTCTCTCCCGTAGTCCTCGGGGTCTTGGTCTCCTGTTTCTTCGAAGAGCCCACCAACTCTTCTTGACATTCTCCCCTCCTTTTTTGGTGAGTGCCCTGCGCTCCCTCCCCGCCCACGGCCTCGCCTTCCGCGCCATGGCCCTCGGCGGGATCCAAGTCAGACCCACACAGGACTCCCTCTTCTCCGGGATCCGCTGCGGTCTATTGCCGGACCCCAGGTATGCGCAGCTTGGCATTGGATGAAGCCAAGTTCGAACGAGCAGCCGCGACAACATTGTATGAGTCCCTGGAGGAGCAGTTGTGGATCAGGGTTAGACTCGTGTTGCAATCCACGGGGGATCATCAAGCCCAGCGCCCATTCAATACACAGCCGTCACAGGAAGTTCGCCGGGATCCGAACTTCAGGAGGCTGCGAGAGAGACAGACAAAAAGTTAGGGTCCTAGCAAGGTGTCCTAGCACGGTACCAACGAGATTTACAACAAGAGGGCCCGCCAACCGGAATCTCCAACGGGTTTCAGGAAACGCGAAGCTCGCGCGACCTTGCGACAGGCATCTCTAAGAGTGCTTTTGGCATCTCGCTACGACAGTGGCCGACTGTTTGGCACATGTTGATGGTGGACGGGCGAAAACCGGTTACGGGCAGATCCTTCCACGGTCATGGGTCTTTCCCACGCCCCCCCCGACGCCAATGACATCAGAGACAAATTAACGGAGAGGCCAGAACGTGAAGTTCGCCCAGATCCGAACTTCGTCGGGGCACGACACGGCAGGAGACGGCGTCAGAGACGGACGTCCAACATGACTTTCATCATATTACTGAACCGAACAATGACCAGCGATTTGCACGACAAGCGCGCGGTGCAGCGTGTACCAACACCTGCGGAGTCTCACACTTCTCTGCAGTCCTACAAATCTGACATGTCAGGCAGCACAACCGCATCTCGTCCCTCGCCGTTCTTTTCCCTCAAACAGAAGGACTAAAGACCGGTTCGGATGCGGCGACATTTGGGGATCCTCCGGGACGACGTCGTGAACCGAAGCCAAACAAAGCATTCAGTCACGATCCGTAGAGGAGGGTCTGCGGTTCGTCGACCGATGCAATCTCCAAAAAAACGGACATGTATTTCATCCTAACAAACACCCCCGGTCGTGCCAAGGAGTTTCCTATGCAGTCCCGTATGTCAGCCACTTTCTCCTCAACCTCATGAAACAACGAATAGTTTCGAACCTGACCTGCTATCACCAAATCTGGCCACCCATCCACACGTTCAGGCCCACGCATCGGCACGAATTTGGACCCTTCAATCACAACCTCGTTGCGCGACACGAGCACAACAGCGTCGACGAGTTTCCTGCTCTTGTTCGAAGCAGCGACACACAGAACTCTGGCGAAACCAGATCCGGACACAGTCAACCGCACACAGCAGTACGACACAGCTCGTGGAGAAATCCCGGGGCAACGGAGCAGGTACTGGTCCAGAAACGAGCAGCGACGAGCGCAGTCCATCAACTCTTGTTTCCGCGAGCCACCCCAAGTTTGTGGCGACGACCTGACGTTGTGGCACTCGAGGCGACTGAAATAGCAGCTAATGCAGCTTAGTGCTTTTCGCATTTGGTTCAGGAACTTATGTCCAAGGACGGCGTCAGGCTGTGGGATGAGGTCCCCAAACTCCAACATATTCGCGAACTTGTACTGGCTTGCCCAAGGGCAGTGACTCTCCATACTGGCCCAATTGCCCTCACCCCAGTCGTCAAGATGCGCGTCCCTGCACGGAACGACGGTCATCCATGGGTCCTCGTCGAAGTCCTCTGCGGTCGCTCCGTGGATCGTCGTCACACCGTTGAAATGCCGCACGGATTTCGCACAAGGACGAAAAGGTTCTGCTAAGCGAATGTGCGTCTCGGCACTCATGGCATGTGGTCTCGAGAAGATCGACTCAAAGATGCGTGGTGTCGAGAAGGTCCCCTCCATCACGCAATCTGCACACCACGCGCACATGCCCGACGACACACACGGGCACAGAGATACTCGTAAACACGTCATGTCTCGCGATGTGCGACCCATGGCATTAGACGCAGTGTATACCCCAAGATCCGATTTCGGGTTGCCGGCTTCGTCGGTGTTCACATCTACCGGCCCGCAGGCCAGCCGCAAACACGCCCTGCGACATGTTCTCCTGGATCCGAACTTGGAGAGACCGCGCGGGAAAGACGAAGCTGTCTCCCAAACCCGACGTCGAAAACTGCCAAGAAGTTCGGATCCACGCGGACTTACAATTTCGCACGAATGAAAAGTTGTGGCAATCCACCGGCCGCCAGGAAGTCCACAGTATGACCCCGCACCACCCCAAAGGTGAAGCACGCCGGGGTCCGATGTCGACAGTTTTCCGACGAACCGTGCAGGGGAAGATCTCAGCGGACTTTGCATTTTATAGAATCCGTAGTCTGCCGTGATCCGAAATTTACGATTTCATGAGGAACTTTGCACGGCAGGTTCTGATCCACGGCCCTGCAGGAACATCTCCTGCCACATGCATTGCGAAAGGAAGACAGCTCAAATTTATCGCGATCCGAACTTGGAAAATTCGTCGGGATCCGAACTTGCAAAAGGAACATCTCCTGCCACATGCACTGCGAAAGGAAGACAGCAGGTTCGGATCCACCTCCCAGCAGGCGAACCCGACGATGGGACGAGGAACCATTGCACGAGAAGTACAGATCCCGGCGGACTTCGCATTTTTCTGAAACAAAAGTTGTGGCAAACACCCGTTCGCGAGAAAGGACACAGTCAGTACCCACACCATGCGTGACGCGAAGTTCGTCGGGGTCCGAACTTGCCACGCGATGTCCGGATTCACGGGAGGGTGTTCGCCGGGATTCGAACTTCTCGAGACCGCGTGGGAGAGAATCCACCAGCGGGCTACACATTTTTTTAAATACAAAGTTGTGCCAAACCCCGGGAGCTAGAAACCCGCGTTCTGAACCCGCACATTGAGACAAGCGAAGTCCCCGGGGTGCGAACTTGACGTCTGTGCGAGGAACCGTGCAGTAAAAGTCCGGATCCCGGTGGACTTCGCATTATCACGGATCCGAGGTTCGCCGAGGTCCGGACTCGGCGAGTGTGCAAGGAATAGTGCGAGCGAGGTTTGGATCCGCAGGCCAGCAGGAACCTGTAGTTGGCCGGGATCCGAACTTTGAGAAATTACGTGGGAGATACACACCTGTCTGCCAAACTCGCCGTCCTGTGAATTTCTTGAAGTTCGGATCCCAGGCTGTGGTTGCGGACCTGGGTTGCGAGGGAGACATACAGCTGCATGAAGTTCGCCGGGATCCAGACTTGGCGAAATTGCGTGGGTGACATACACCTGTCTGCCGAACTCACCGTCCAGCAATTTCTTCAAGTTCGGATCCCGGCGGACTTCCAATTTTTACACGTCCCGGGCTGTGGTTGGGGACCGGGGTTGCGAAGCGTGTTCGAACAGCTGCATGAAGTTTGCCGGGATCCGAACTTGGCGAAATTGCGCGGGAGATGAACACGTGTCTGCCAAACTCGCCGTCCAGCAATTTCTTGAAGTTCGGATCCCAGCGGACTTCTAATTTTCCACGTCCCTAGCTGTGGTTGCGCACCGGGGTTGAGAAGCGTGTTCGAACAGCTGCACAAGCTCGCCGGGATCCCAACTTCTTTCGGTGTTTGATTGCGCGATCAGTTCGGTTGGAACGGCCACGTTCCGATCACAAGAATAGTGTCGGCGACGCGTGGGGTGGTGGGTGCTCAAAGTTCGACGTCCGACGAGGTTCGACGCCCGCCGAGGTTTGATGTGGAGCCAGGTTCCGTGGGCAGCACGGTTCAATGTTATACGAGGTTCGATGTGCAACAAGATTGTAACGAAGTGCTTTTTATTCGTTCGAAGATCGGAATCGACGTTTTTCCGATCGGTTGTGCATTTCATTCGCCGGTTTCGACCGTTCACATGATCATTTGCCTTGAGGATTCTCCGCGATCGTTCTCCACGATCAATTAGCACAGAACAGTCGATCGGCTGCTCGGTTGGCGGTTGATGTGGTGGTTGATCAACCAGCAGAGCAATCGCCAACCGAGCTGTCGACCAATCGGTTGATCCTGGCAGATTTCCTGACCGATCGACGGTTCGGTCAAGACTGTCAGGTGGGTAAATAAACAGGTCACTCGCCGGCGGGTTGATCTTCGGTGCATCATACACGATCAATCATCCGATCGCAAGTAATCTTCTGTCGTTTCGCGATTGGTCGGTTGGATGCGTTGTCGCCTACTTCATTGGTTAATCATCAGTCGGGCAGATCAGCGGCGCTGTTGTTGGGGAGGCAAACAGCATCTATCACCCGATCGCGAGTGGTCGGCTTGCGTTTCGTGATGGGTTGGTTCATCACGTGTGTGGTGTACATATTGTCATGGATCTGATTGACCATCAGATCACGAGTGATCTGAACACACACGACAGAAAAAACAACACACACGCGGTGGTTGCGTCGACACGGCAGACACGACCAATCATCCGATCGCGAGTGATCTAATCGTGTTTCGCGATTGGTCGACGGATGCGTTAGCTGTGTCGACATTGCCACCATGATCATCCATTGGGCAGATCGGCGGACATGACATTGGGACAGCCCACAAAACCGCCATGTGTTTCGATTGATCATCCATTGGACAGATTGGCGGACATGACATTGTGACAGCACACAAAACCGCCACGTGTTCGATCCGAGCTGTGTCGACATTGCCACCGCGTGTTTCGACTGATCATCCATTCGGGCAGATCGGGTATGGCAAGTTCTCATGATGACGTTGTGTTTCATTATAAGCCGCCCCGTGTTCGATCCGAGCTTCCGTGCTTCGCCACTTGAGTACAGCACGAGCGCAATCGTCTGTTGATACTCTCCTCACACATCCTCACACATCCACACACAAGCGGAATCGAAGGGTGAACCATGACGTTCGTCCCTGACCGCGCACGTTCGCGCGCATCTCCCCGTGGAAAACGCGCGCGAACACATACGCACGCGAACACATATGCACAGACAGGCACACACACGCACACACACACACACACACACACGAGCCGACACACGGCGCCCGCACACACACGCCCCTCAGGTATAGACGCGCGCACGATCCTGCCTCGCGCGTGTAGCACACACTTCAATACAGACACAAACACAAAGGAACATGCACTCGAACACACACACACACACAATGAAACATGCACAAACACACAATCACACACAAACACACACACACACACACACGCCCACCCGCACACATGCAGCCACGAAATCTTTCGATCTGCGCGAGCATATCGTCACAAAAAACCTCCCCCGCACGCGCGCACATGCAAACATACATCCTGACTGCGTGCGCACTCACCGTGTGGAACTGCCGAGTGAAGATGAGCGCGAACCCCGACGATTGTCGTGACGGCACTCTGTCCACCTTTGGGCGTGCACTTCGCGTTTGCTGGGGTGCTGCGTGGGGTGGCGGTCGCGCCTTCCGAAAAAGGAGATCGGGAGCGACGTCGAGTATGACGTGGACAGCGACTTGGTAGGCGGAGGGACATGCGAGGGCATGTGGGGTGCGTCGGTGCCACGAAACGTGCGCGGTGAAGAATGGTTGTGCCAGCTATGGTGCGCCAGCTGTTGACGACAGTGGCGGTGCGTGGTTTCCGTCGGGCAGCATCTCCCCAACAAAAAACGCAAAACACATCGTCAATGCCCAGGGCGCCGCTCGTATTTGTAGGCGCGCGGGACACGAGGCCCCCTCGGGCCTTCCGTTTCGGATTTCCGTGCAGGGTCCGCGCGCCGACTCTAGTCCGTTCGATCCGCGCATCGAACGGTGGCTGCACGTCAAAATTGTCGCGAGGGGGGCCTGGTGCGTTGAAATGTAACAAAAACGTCCCTACGGGCTGGCCCTTCCCGGACGTCATTGGAAAACGGGCCCTTGTTCCGGGCCCCTCGCGTTCGTGTCTTCGGGTTCGCGGGCCCCGGTGGAGGGGGTCTCAGGTGTCGGTGGGGGGCAGTTTGTACTTTTCAGGGGTGAGGGGGGAGAACCGCGGGAGGG